GTAATGTTTGATAGACAGGCATGTCTGTTCACTCAAATGGTGTTTAAATGTTTCTAAGTGTCACTTTGGGCCACCAGTATGTTATAATTAATGTCATTTAGATTGGGATATGTCGGTACCTTCCAGTGAGATTTATCTTTCGGCATGTAACATTGTTTTTCAGTAGATCCATATCCTTCCACCTCTTCATATGGTAGACTAATGAGTACAGAATTCAGGGCAAAGAGTGAGGCTTGCTGAGGTTTTTGAACCAGATTGTGTACCTATACCCAAGGGTGGGGTATTTCTATCCTAGATCATACCAAGTTGAGCTTATGCCATACCGTTGCGTCCGGTGTCCGTCCGTCCGTCCATCCATACGGCAACAACTTCCTTAAATGACTTCTTCTTCTTAACCACTGATTGGAATTCAACTAAATTTGACTGGAAGCATCCCTAGGTGGTGGGGATTCAAATTGTACAAATGGTGGGGCTGAGGGGCGCGGCCAAAAGGGGTCAATTTGGCTATATTGCTACAAACGACATCTTCTGTAGAACTATGCACTAATTATCAATCATATTTGATCAAGAGCATTTATGGGAGGCAGGGATTCAAAATTGTAGAAATGGTGTGACTGACCCCCCAGGGGGCTGAGGGGCGGGGCCAAAAAGGGTTATTTGGCTATACTGCTTCAAGTGACTTCTTCTCTGGAACTAAGCGATGGATATCAACGATATTTGACTGGAAGCATCCCTAGGTGGTGGTGATTCAAAATTGTACAAATGGTGGTGCTTACCCCCAAGGGGGCTTAGGGGTGCGGCCAAAAGTGGGCAATTTGGCTATATTGCTACAAACAACTTTTTCTGTAGAACTGTGCACTGGATATCAATCATATTTGATCAAATACATTCCTGAATGGAAAAATATACAAGTTTGTAGTATAAAGTAGTTGATAAACAATTTATCACACAGTGTTTTCATGGATTGGTGGTTCAAACCTGCAATAGCCTGGTGATTTTATCCACATGCTCGTGAGGATATAATTGTTCTGACAACAAACCCTGAGAACACAGTGTGATAATCTGTAACTCTCATGTGGAACAGATGTGTTTCCAATAGGACGGGACTCGAAAGACCTCTAGTAGTCTTCAAAATCCTTATTACTGAAACATGAATAAAAAGCTATTTCTTAAATGTTCGGTATCTTGTCGGCTAATATTCTGATAGGCGACATCATCTTAATGTGTTTTTGTTACATCGTTAAGTTGTTTGCATCTGAAATTGCCTCATAGCTGCACTTGCTTTTAAACTTTTGCAGGCTACATTTAATTTCTGATCGTAATTAATTTGTACGTTATCTAGAAAATGTTACTTTATTGTCGTATTAGCAATGTCATTGTCAGGGCTTTTAAACTTTTGCAGGCTACGTTTATTTGTCAGATTTTTCTTAAACATGATCGTAATTAATTTGTACGTTATCTAGAAAATGTTACTTTATTGTCGTATTAGCAATGTCATTGTCAGGGCTCAACCTGGGCACTACCACATGTAGGTATGGGAATTCTTCCCAAGGGTACTGTGTAACTCATTCACCCCTAAAATTTCATAATGAACTATTCCAACCTTTGAATTGGAAGAGTTCAAATGTGTCTTCAGGGATAAATGAGGTTAGGTCAGAATAAATAATTGTCAAGCTTTGTCTCTGACTCGGAATTTCTTTTTGTAATTTCATAATGAACTATTCCAACCTTTGAATTGAAAGAGTTCAAATGCATCTTCAAGGGTGAATGAGTTAAGGTCAGAATCAATAATTGTCAAGCTTTGTCTCTGCCCCGGAAATTCTTCATCCTCCGGGATATATGTCCGAAATTCCACAGATATGAAACTTCAATGGTCGTTATCAATAGAGATGTGGCCTGCAGTACTAGTGTTATTTGTTACCGACTGAAGGATGTGTTTTGGTGCTGATGGCCTTGTTTGTTAGACAGACCGGGTCAGTATTGATTAAATTACCAGTAAAGACCAGATTTGACAGAAAGCCTACAACAATAGATCCGTATGCCTTCTCTTGTTCCCTGTGTTATCGCAGAGCCCAGCTTTTGTTTTGTCCGTAACGATGTCTTTATTATGGATAATTGTTCCCCAATATTCCTCTAACAGTCGAGTTATTGTCATTATTTCCCAGACAACAACTTTTTACATTTGGTGCCCTTTAATTAATTATGATCTTTCAAGTGTTCCCCATGAATTTTCAGTTTAGTGGGTATATTTGATAGATTTTCAAGATTCTGTCCATATTGAAAAATAAATGTGACATGAAAAATTGAGTGTGGTGTGGGTTGGGGATGTTACGACTTAATGTTACTGGGGTAAACTACACTCATTTGGGTGTTTTTTTGCGGAAAGTGGAATTTGCATTACATTTATACATTGTTGGTCCGTCGAGCGGGCCGTGTGATGGTGTATGATGATTGAGTTGGCCAAGTGTTAGATATTTGGATGTGGCATTTGCCAGTCTGCTGTATGTTCAGAAGAAACACTAATTGCTCTGAAAATAATAGTAGTAATTATGAGTAATTATGCAAAGGTTTGTTCCTGGAGATGAAGTGTGTTCGACTCTGCGTCATTATACCAGATTACCATAACATTTTGTGTTTACAATTACACAGAAAAATTGACTTTTTAAAAACATACCGTATATGTGTCATGTTAGGAACCCTTCCTATAAGATATCACCATTCTGTACAAACCAACTCATTGGAGACTCTCTGACCCTCTCATGAGGGACCACCTGTCCAGAGAGATCACATTACCACCTGGATCAAAAGTTCATTTTCATGAAAGACCACCTAAGGGATTATTAGACCCTCTTTGGGGACATTATTCAGCCCCTACTCCCATGGAAAATGGTGTTTCTTCCCAAAATTGTCTTAGTTAAAAAGCATTACTTTTCCTATCACCTTGTACTCGGATCCGATATTGTAAAATTTCAGTACTTTAATTTTCTATTTGATACAATGAGAAATCACCTGTAATGAAAAATTTGTAATGAGAGGTAATCTGTTAAGAGAAATCACCTGTCGTGAGAGATCACCTAAAACAAGAGATCAGTTTTAAGAAGATATTGCATGTACATGTAAAGGGATATAATCACCTGTATTGAGAGATCACCTGTAATAAGAAATCACCTGTAAAAAGAAATAACCTATAACAAGAGATTATATAATTACCTGTATTGAGATATCACCTGTCATGAGAATTCACCTGTAATAAAAAAAATAAACTGTTATAAGTGGTCACTTGTATTGAAATATCAACTGTTATGATAGATAACCTAGACCTGTAACAGGAAATTACCTGAAATAAGTTATTGCCTGTAATGGGATATTATCACCTGTAAAGAGAGGTCACCTGTAACGAGAGATCAGCTGCAATGAGAGATCATGATCACCTGTAATGAGATATCACCTGTCAGGAGAGGTCATGACCTTTAATGAAAGATCACCGGTAATGAGAAATCACCTGTCAGAAGAGGTCATGACCTTTAATGAGTGATCACCTGTAATGAGATATCACCTGTCAGAAGAGGTCATGACCTTTAATGAGTGATCACCTGTAATGATCATGAGATATCACCTGTAAAGATATATCACCTGTAGAGAGATACCAGCTGTAATGAGAGATCACCTGTCATAACAGGTCATGACCTTTATTGAGAGATCACCTGTAAAGATATATCACCTGTAGAGAAATACCATATGTAATGAGAGATCACCTGTAATGAGAGATCACCTGTCATAACAGGTCATGACCTTTATTGAGAGATCACCTGTAAAGATATATCGCCTGTAGAGAGATACCAACTGTAATGAGAGATCACCTGTAATGAGAGATCACCTGTCAGAAGAGGTCAGAAGAGGTCAGAAGAGGTCACGAGTCTGTATGAGAGATCACATATGTTACAATATTGACCATATACTAGGAAATAGTTTCCAGACTTAATTCAGCATGCACTATTCTTGTCTGTTGCTTTGTTCTGGTGTTTATCTTTGGGCGCAGACCTGTTGCTTAAAATTCCTTGCACTTAGATCATATCAAATTCTCTCACTAGAAAGACTCTTAAGACTGAAGAGTGTATCTTTGACATTTCAAGAGAGTTTCGTTTCTTTTCCTGCCCGAATGGAATCAAATTCTCCAAATGTTAATTGGTGAACTGACAAACCATTTTCAGATGTTAGACTTGTTCGGAGAGGCCATACTTGGGGAATCAATATATTATAAACTGATTGCCCCTTTTGTGGGCATAATGAACTTCACAGGCATCCCAGCAGCTTCACCTAAGTTTAACTGCCAAGTTCGAAGCCGATAACAAATTGAATCAGAGAAACATGTCACTTGAGGAGCTACTTGTTCCGTGTTTGTCATTGACGTTAGTTGTGTGATGTGTAACGTGAGCTGAAGTAGGAAGTCTTCAGGTTACAGAGGTCGATCATGAATAATAAATTAGTAGCGTACTCGGTAGGCACTATTGTATAACTTTCAAAAACACCTTTCATTTAATTTTCAAGAATGCAGCCATTTTGATGAGGTTGATACAGGATTTTGTTAATGCTGTAAGAAAGGATGTTGACCCGTGTTTGCTATTTCTTACTGCTGTTTATAGCACCTGTCTACCGTCTGGGTCAACAAGAACGATTAATATAAGTTGATAGAACTTGCTTCATAACTGTTGGAAAATATAGATTTTTTTATTTTTTTTTAAACACCTGTCTGTTTTGTGAGAGCAATTTAAGTCACAGTTTCCCTGGACATCTAGAGAAACATAGTGATTGCGTACTTATATGTTAACCCTTTCACCCCTATATAACTTCAGTAGACTGTACCATGCACTGATCTCAATGAATCTATTATGGTCTATAGTGGCGAAAGGGTTAATCATTAAAACCTTTAAAATTTTGCAAATACAAACTTGTTGATGTGTTAATGAATCTTCTCAACATTTTTTTTTTTTTTTTTTCAGATAATCAACATTCATAACATACTCCGCCAAGAGAATTTAGAATCAATGAAAGATGTGTATCCTTTGTGTCAGATAAGCCTTGGTATGTACTGCAGATATGACAGTCTGTTTGGATGGCAACAGAGCGTCTCAGGATGATGGTAATGGAAATGTCATAGATTTCTGATATGTATTTCTATATATAATAGACATGAAACTGCATTCATATCTTCAAAATACACTGATTTACACTTACACCGGTCCAGTTTGTATGGATATGTATACTGTATATTGAACATTCGCTGTAGGTTAACATTTCGCCTTTTTTGCACTTCCTAATGAGGACAAATTTATCATTCCAGCCAATATTAGTGAACAAATTATATATAGTTATTAATTATGAAGGGCAAAATTAACATCTGGTTTATATGGATTTCAACAGGGAAAAGCGAAAATTTGACTGCACGAAAGTTTCTTGATATACATTATTAGCTCACCTGGTCCGAAGGATTAATGCACATATGCTTCCAGGATGGCCTTTGGGTCTGCCCAGCCCTTGGAGACTTAACCCCTGGGGCATAACTTTGAAATGGTTAAAATTCCCACCCCAAAACTATATATACAATTGTTGGGCATAAAGAGAGGAATGCAGGCATGATATTAGAATTGATCCTGGGGTCTGGCCACAACCCTAGGGACCTAGTTTCTGAGTCACAGCTTGGAAGCAGTTGAGATCCCCACCCCATAACCATACATTAAATAGCTGGGCATGAGAAATCTGATACAGATATGCTTCAAGGATTGGCCTTGGAGTCTGGCATATTCCCTTGGATCTCATTTGGAGAATGATTTGCCATGATTGCTTAGATATCCAGGTGAGCGATACAGGCCCTCTGGGCCTCCTCTTGTTTATTTGCTTAGATAATTAATAATAATTAACAATAATAATAATAATTTGAGGTTCTTATATACCGCTTTATCACAACCTAGTTCGTAGGTCATCTCAAAGCGGTTCACAAATTATTATCGCCGTTATAAGGCCTTTGCAACCAGCTAATATCTTTCTCAACTCCCTGGGGAACATACAGCCGGTGCTGCCCTTTCGTTGCTCACAGCTAGCATTCAACAATTCTAGCACTGTCCAACCACATACTCATTTACAGCTGAGTAGACTGGAACAAGCGGAGTAAAGTATCTTGCTCAAAGATATAACACAGTGCCGTGCCGTGACTGAACCCGCAACCCTTCGGTCACAAGCCCGGTAGCCTACCACTAGACTAATGTGCCCCCTAAATAGTATATATATTTGTGGGATCTAGGTGAATGTCAGATTGATAAATAATTCCAGATTTTACAGTGTTCAGTTGAATCGGGTAAAATTTCAAACATAGAAAAATGTGTAATTATTTTCTTTGTCAAAAGCTCTAATTCCGAAAAATACTTTTGAGATTCACACACACACACACACACACCCACCCACCCACCACAAAAACTAAAAATGGAGGTAAAACAAGGTGGTCCAGAAGTGGAAGCAGTTCCTTCACCGTTTCTGTCAGCCCCTTGTGAAGTATCGTACATGTATCAGTTAAAGCAGCATGTTATGAACATTGTGTTTTTTACAGCCACCATTGTTCTGTCCTATATAAGGAGCTTGTCAAGTGACTTTAAGTGGCTATGTCCTGTCTATGTTATTGAAGCTAAGCGGTTTATTATGATGTACGTCAAGTCATTTTGCATTATTTCACGGCGGTCAAAGCAAGACCCTGGTGTAACATGCTATTTAAATTTGGTTCTATGAAAGTTGTTGGTTTTGTTTGGTAAGACAATCGTTATTCCTCCACGTTGTGTTATCGTGCTGTGCCACCGAGAATGGCTACTCTCGTTCATGTCAAGGTCATTTCAAGTGTAAATTATGAAGTACGTAGATTCATTTTGCGTTACTTTAAGTCAGGGGTGTACCATGCTATTTAAATTTGATTCTGCAGAAGTTGTTGGTTTTGTTTAAAAAGACAATCGTTATTCTTCCAAATTGTGTAAGTCTGTGCTGTGTCACTGAGAAGGACAACTTTCCAACATTTCAAAGGTTTATTATGACGTCGAGAAAGGCAACAAGTCAAGGTCATTTCAAGGGTTAATATGAAGTACATAGAGACAGTTCGCTTTACTTTATGTCAGTAACGTAACATTGTTTAAATTTGACTCTAAAAAAAGTTGTTGATTTTGTTTGGAGAGATGATCGTTTTAATTCTTCCAAAGTGCGTAATTCCGTGCTGTGCCACCTAGAAACGCAGAAAAAACTCTCCAACATGTTGAGGTCATTTCAAGGGTACGGTGAAACGTGATACTATTTGTGTTGTCTTGGTTATATAAAGATATCATCAGGTTTGTCACTCGTGAATAATTCATTCTGCAGACTCTGAACAGTATTAAAGCTTGGTCATCAACAAGAATTTATTCCTGGTGAAAAATGAATTTTTTTCCACTTAACGCGTCAGTCTTGACATGTATAATGTGATATGGATTACCCGGTCTTTTTTCTCCCCATGCTGTACACTTCTGTTTTCTCCAGAATATAAAATCCTAACAGATGAAAATAGTTTTGTTATACAGCTTTATATAGATATGACATTTAGATTTTATCTGAAATTAACAGTGTGCCATCCATCACTCCTTGTGGTCCCATAGAACAGTTCGGTCACAGTTGTTGACGTCATACCATTAGTCTACGACTACTGTTGGAAAAGTCCTATCAGTGTTGTTTCTATCTAAAACAGGATCAGAGAGTTCAGCGAAACTTTATCAAAGAAAGTATTATACTATCTTTTCCGGGCCATTTACCCTCCTGGTCAAGGTTATATGTTCACTTATAGGCCGCTTCAATTTATGGCGTTCCAAACTGTTGAACCAGAGTTGTTCATTTAGTAGTAATCTGATGCTGCTTTCAGGCGAGCCTTGACAAGGCCTTGCAATGCCTGCATAAACAGGTTCGCCAGGATTTATACCCGAAAATGGTACATCAAAAAACGAGCAAACAAGGGAGATGATTATCCTAATGATAAGGGATGAATTGCAACGAAATTGTCACAAGGGTGATTTGTGGTTTGTTTCTGACAGAGCTTGGGGAGAAACTCCCTTTAACTCTAGTGACCCTAGTTACATCGGTGCCCATGTTTGGACCAAGGTACTGTGTCTATAATCTGTTTAACCTTGCTCTCATAAGCATGATAGCAGTTAGCTAGAAATGAATTTCTTTTTGCCTGGAGGGGAGTGTGTCACATTGGCGAACCATCTAGATGCATGTTGGTGAGTTGGCTAGGGGGAATTTTACTTTAGCATGATCAGAGTGCTTGACCAATAATATCATGAAATTTAAGCATTTCCATAATATTAAATGCAAATTAATCAATTATTAGGGACAACAAGTACAAAAATAATATGGACAAGGGAGGTAACTTCCTTAAATAGAAATAAAAGGGAGGTAGTTCAGTACGTGACTGGATCAAGGGTGGTTAAAAGTTTGATCTTGACAAGACTGGTTATTTATTTTAACATGCACAAGGGAGGTAACATGTTTGACCAGGACGTTAGTGAGTTTACCTGGAATTGGCAAGGGAGATAATTTGTTTGATTTTGACAGGAAGATAATTTGCAGGACATAGACAAGGAAGACTGTTTGATCTGGATAAGGCGGAAAACTAATGTGTATGGTCAAGGAATTCAAAGGAGATATCTAGTGTGGAATTAAAATAAGCAGTCTTGAAAAGGCATGAGCAGCCTCAATATTGATAATTATCTGCATTTTCTTTCAACAATAGCTTTGTCTTTTATTCAAAGTAACTCATTCACCCCTACATATTTAAACTGAACTTGTCCAGTATTTGATTTGGTGAGATTCAAATGTGATTTTAAGGGTGAATGGGTAAGATGTTTTCTCTGCAGATATTCAGAGGCAGTTTGATAAGGTCCTGTTTCTCTGCCGATGTACTCTTATGCATTATCAGTTGTAAATTAAAGCTGATGATGTTTTCAAATCCTTTTTGGGTTTTACATTTTAGAAATTGATGACAATGAAGTCTTTGACTAAATTTTAAATGATGCATTTTTATAGTAATCCTGAGTTAGAAATGATATGGCAGATTCTTTCCTTAGTCAAACTAAATCCATGTCTGGAGAAAAAAATAGTTCATTTGGTTTCATAAATGATGTTCAATATCTCCAATGCTATTTTATTAAACAGATTTGGCTTGTCCTGTATCCTAAGGCTATTTATAGTACAGTTGACACAGTTGATTGTGTCACAGACACTCAGTCACTGATTCGCTAGTCTTCCATATAAGGTCATGTTTTACTACGTCTTGGGGCGATGGGGAGGGAAAGGAAGCAGACTTTGGGATTTAAGCTGTATTTAAATGGATCACGCTCTGTCAAGTTTAGCAATGCTTGTTCTGTATAACGAGTATGATTGACAAAGAAAACAAACCCACAGCGGACATGCAGAGCAGTCTATATGTAACTGTCCCTAGCGTCTCAAGTCTCGTTGTCAGGGGCAACTACACAGAACCTACCTAAATGGTTGTCGTGATATCATTTTGTCTCAAATGTCAATAATCATCTGAAACAGTTTTAGGATTTACCATTCCCTATCGCTGAAACAAATTAAGACTGAATCAATTGCTAGTTGGATGGAAATTGTATTGTAACCGACATCTCCGAGGCTGTGACGCTATCCGTCTCTGGTGCTATTCATCTTCCATCATCCTATTGTTTCTTGTCTACTGGTTGGTTTTGATGTATATTAAAAATAAGTTCTAGATACATGTTATAATACAAGGTTTATATAAACGTTCGGTAAATAATAAATATAAAATTAAAAAAATTTGTTAGTATATTAGATAGAATTATTGGGATAGGTCACAGGGGGGAAAAAATATCAAAAATTTACTGTGAAAATATAAATTTCTTGATGAACTGCCTTCCCAACAATTCTAGGAATAAGAATGCACATAAAATATTATACAGAGTGTTGGCTAAATCAAAAAGTTTAATTCCATTATACTTTGAATGTGCATATAGTGGT